GGTGGTGCACACACGCTAGTACCAGATACTGATGGTGTGGCAAGAGTCACCTAGATAACTTTGCCACAAGATTCGAATCGGGGCGTTGGTTAAGGTTTGCATTAGGGTCTACTCCGGCCTATATGATTCAGGGATATTCAGGGCTGGGGTTTGTTCAGGGATTAAGGTATTCACTCAGCACATATTCCTCGAAACTTCAGCACAGACACCGCGTGGCTTGCAAGCGATGTTGGCTTAGGCTGGCATTTTGTGTGGAGGATCGTTTCAACTTTTCCAACATTGGACATGTAGACTTTTAGTGGATGCACCGAGCCGTAGACATAGTTAAGAGGTCAAGCACGTATACGTATGCAGGAATTGGTGTGAAACCTGCTGGGCGGATCGCCAACGAACATGGAACACGAGAAAACCTCCGTGACAGCGTTCAACCTAGATCCACCCCGAACCCCAAATGCCTGACCCACCAGCACGGATCCTATAGTCCTATAAATACAGAAACAGCTGAAAAGCCCCTTTCAGAAGCCCATCCAAGAATCCTCTTTCCCAAGGTCGCCGGCTTGCGACTGCCAGGGAGGATCCGGCCGCGCGTTGGATGAAGTCCTTGGGGCTGCGACTGAGCGGACCCCGGTGGGCGTGGGATTTGTTGCTGGTGGATAAGTGTTTTGGGATTCTGGGCTTCGTGTCTTATGGGTGCTCTGCTCGATCACGGCAATAAACCATGATACTCACATGTTGTATTCAAGCCAGAGCCATGATTACCATCATCATTGTCATCTACGTCATCCTCAGAAGCAGCAGCATCATCATCATCATCATCATCATCATCGTCAGCATCCTCATCATCATCATCAAAGTAATCACCATAACTCGTGCCCTTAATCATCACCAGGGTCGTCACCATGCAAACAAGGTCATGCGACCCCCAAAACCGAGGCTTGTCATATTGACCCGAAAGTCCAACCCTAAACCCTAAACCCTGAACCCGTGGAGTTTCGAACTTTGCTTTTGTGTTACAGGCCCCGTTTCTAACAGCCTAGTACTGTTAGCCCATGTCAGCTCCACATCCCAAACCCTACAGACTAATATAGGGGCCTTAATAATGAGAATAGGGCTTTGAGGTATAGTATACTATATTTATAATAAGGAACTGCCAAAAAAAACTATTCTCATTATTAAGGCCCCTATGCCCTAAGCCCTTATAGTAGCCCTTATAGTTACCGTTATAGACCCTTTTTACGGAACCCTTAAAACCTTTAAGGCCCCTACAGACTAAACCTGAACCCCAAGTCGCCGCTCAGCTCAGGGGCAGGCGGCGCTCGTGCTGAAACCGGCGGGGTCCTGAGCGCAGCTAACAAGGAGGAAAAAGGGTTTAGGGTTTGGGGTTTAGGGCTTAGGGCTTAGGGTTTAGGGTTTAGGGTTTAGGGTTTAGGGTTTAGGGTTTAGGGTTTAGGGTTAGGAGGAAAACGGGGATCTCAGGTTCCTTGAACGGGTTCTATAAGGGCTACTGCAAGGGTTTAGGATGTAGGGGCCTTAATAGTCAGAATAGGGTTTTGGGTTCTGTTATAGTAAAAAAATTATAGTAAGGAGAACCCGAAATAGTATAATAGGTAATTATTGAGGCCCCTAGATCACAGGGTTCCGGAGCTTCGGGTTCAGGGTTCTAGGGCTTAGGGGGCCTTGGAGGCTAGTTTCAGACTTTACTGTGAACCTAGAGACTCCAATATCCCTTAATTAAGGAATATACCTTAAATTATAGTAGGATCCCTAATATGATCTCTGGGAACTTGGTGGTAGAATTCTCACGTCCAGACTTATCTCGATGAGTCTTTTCCCGGTGATTCCTGCTTCAAAGACTCCATAGCAGAGTTCAGACTAAACTAGGCAGCTCCGAGCCGATGGAGGCGCCTGCATCTCAACTTCGACTTCAGACTAGTCAGTAGTAAGTAACACTAGTAGTAGTAGTAGTAGTAGTAGTAGTAGTAGTAGTAGTCGTAGTAGTAGTAGATCACATAGATACAGCTTCAACAGGTCAAGGCGGGTTGCTGATTGACACCATGGCATAATAATGCTGCACATAATTGTTGGATCGACTTACTCTTGGCACATGCCAGAGTATCCCTCTGAGCAGTCTGCCACGCGACACTTGCACTTTGAGTTAGCATCTGCTGACTTCGAATCAGAGGTCCCTGAAGCCTAAACTAGGGCCTAAACCTTACACACCTAAACCCTCCAAACCCGAACCTCTATATCCTCTGCCCGAACCACCCCTCCTACCTAGGCCTACTACACCTGCGCCTTTTTTTCTGCTTTCGGACCGAGGACTTCCCCAAGCAATGCGTGGGCATGGGTAATATAGGAGCCTACTAATAATTAAAATATAGGGCTTTGGGCTGTGTGAAACTATAATTATAAGGACTAATCATTAGGTTATAGGGCTTTGGGCTATATGAAACTATAATAAGGAACCCCCAAAACCCTGTTCTAATTGTTAAGGCCCCTACAACATGGGCCAGCATGGCTGCTTCTTCGAAGTCCGGACAGACGTGCGCGCTTGGCTTAAATGGGCACGCTGCTAAACCTATCTCTGCGGTTTCACTCTCCACCCAATTTGGGCCGAAATTTAAATTCGTGGTATCCCTAAACCCTAAACCCTAAATTTGGGCCTAACTCAAACGTGGTACCCTTTCATACGTTGAGTCATAAGCCATGCTTTGTGGCTGAGCCAAAGACAGCAAGGCTTCGGACATCGACCAAAGACCAAAGAATACAAGCTCAAAGGTTCCATCGCAAAACTTGGGTCTCTTAAGGTTAGGGTTTAGGGTTTAGGGTTTAGGGTTTAGGGTTTAGGGTTTAGGGTTTAGGGTTTAGGGTCTAGGGTTTAGGGTTTAAGGTACAGCAAGCTCAAGAGCATGCCAAAGAGCCGCATTTTCCAGTCACTTAGTTGCATATCTCTCAAATTCGGATGGCACACCCAGATATGCTGAATGCTTTAAAGATCACAAATGGACCCAGATTCTGATACAACATTCACTTAACACTCTCGTATCGGCGAGGATTCGTTCATCGTGCCACCTACACTGCACCCAATGCTCAGCATTAGGGAACGACAAAAAACTTGTGCGATGCTTTCGCGTATGTCATTAACTGCACATATGCCGGATGTGATCCGGACTTGCCACTCCACACTGCTGGCCGGCAGAGACTCGAACAGCTGTACTTGTACCACTGTTGCACGAACGACTGCTGACTAGATCTTGAGATATTTCTGCCGCAGTGCTTGGCGGCTTTTCTGAGTCATTCACCTTCCTAAGCCTACTGCCTACGTAGCGAAGAAAGGGGCATCTGGCAGGACGAGTTGGGCCGAGCCGATCTGCCAGAGATCCCGCACTCTGGCAGATCGCCCGGTGAAAACACCACGGTCATAAGCTCTCAACAGCAGAGTTTTGTAGTCTAAACCCTGGGGAATTCTGTGTTGTAGTATCCTTCATTCCGACGTCTGCGCTCCTACGACGAACAGAGGATTTAGTTCAGTCTGCCGGTTGCCTCTATCTGGACATCATCGAATTGATGGCTGGAGCGCATTGGTCTCGATGCTCCCAGCATGTTGATCATTACGAAATCAAGCCAGAGCATTTTCAGCGTTTGAAAGCTAGCACACCTGCACGACAGCATGTGTGGGTGTTTGGGTGTTGGGTCACAGAGATTCAGAGGCGAACATCGGAACATCGCTCAAACCCAAGACCAAACTATGTCGAGGACGCTGGGGCGCAGCACGTGGGGGGATCCGGGAAGCTTCTCCACAGACGGCAGGGTGGCGCAGTTTGTGCTCTGGACTGTTATCATTCTTCAGGACGATGAACATGAACAGACCCAACGGTATTTCGCACCGCCGAGGTTCAGGTTTGCACATTCTGGCTCAGCAGGGGTTGATTTTCTGTCCCTCACACTTCTTCCTTTGGACCCCGAAACCCCAAAGTTTGAATTCCAAAACAAGCCTACAGTGCCTAACTAACACCCAAAGCCCCGAGCTAGAGCCTAAACCCTACACCCTAAACCCCTAAACCCAAAGCCCCGAGACCTAGAGCCTCAAGCCCCAAACTGGCAAAGCCCTGAACGATTCGGGATGGCCCTGAGCACCCACTGCCTCGGCGCCAGGAACGAAAGAAGGCCTGGATGCGGGCACTCTGTAAAGAAGAGGACTATATGGATGTAGGCCCCACCTGGGCTATATCTAGTCATATGATTTAGGGTTTTTGCATTTGGGATTCGAGGGTCTAGGGTTCCACGGAAACCTCGAAGCACCAAGTTTTCACAGCCAGGGCCGACAGAAAACCTCACACCCGCAAAGTCCTCTTGCACTACGAGTCCAACTTTGGAGGATCTCTAGCATTCAATAAAAACCTGAGTATTCTAGTTGCTAGTTGGGGGGGTTTAGGGTTTAGGGTTTAGGGTTTAGGGTTTAGGGTTTAGGGGGGGGCTATATTATACCTATAACCCCAATAACTACTAGATACCCGGCCAATTCAGACCAACTGCTTTAAGGCTATAACTCCTTACTTTTGGCCCCACCTAGGAATTCCCGAGACCCTTTAAGCGCAGCCATGCGCAACCATAAACCCTAAACCCTAAACCCTAAACCCCTACACCCCTAAACCCTAAACCCTAAACCCCTAAACCCTAAACCCCTAAACCCTAAACCATAAACCCTTGCACCCTGGCTCCCCAAGCCGCAAACCCCGAAGTCACCAAGTCTTACCTGCGACCCAGAAGACCGACATTCTCAGGCTTCCTTGTTACGAAACTTCTGTATAGGTTTAGGGGTTTAGGGTTTAGGGTTTAGGGTTTAGGGTTATACTGTATAACGTCTTAAAAAAAATCAAGATCTTACAGGAAACACCTTAACCCTTCAACCCAACATCCCTACAAATTCCCTGAGCTCTAAACCCTAAACCCCCTCAAACCCTGAACCCGAAAGCATGTTTTTTCATGGCCCCAGGCGCATCGGCTCTGAGCTGAGGGAGTGCAGACGGCTTGCTTGGCGCCTGCTCCACTTCTTGCGGCTGGGGGGAGGGGGGTGTTTGAAGTGTGTTGGGGCTTCATATGGTTTAAGAGCTTAGGGTTTAAGTCTAGTTTAGGGGTTTGGGGTTGTGCATCATCTAACTTCGTCGGGTTTTGCGGTACTTACTATCCAATCGCCTGCTTTGCTTGCGTGGCGGTCATGATTTGTTTGGTTGGGGAGGCCAGGGGGTGCGGTTTCGGGGACAAACATGGGAGTCATCTTCTGAAGGCTTGGTGGCCTTAAGTTTACATGCAAAGGTTGCAGCGCAGAGAAAGCTAAGAAGGCACGCCGAGCGAAAAAGTCGTTGAAGCGGTATCTCCACAGGCTCTCAGTTCTCGCACGACCTAACTTTGGTCTCGCTAGCTTCTGCTTTGGGCTGTGACTGGGCCCTCCTGCATCTCCATAAACCTGGATTCGGACTCTGGAGCGTCGATCCTTGCAGTCTCGCCGGGTTCTAAACGCTCGAGCTCGCCTTCACAAGTACGATTTCATTCAATAGACAGGGGTATAAATCACAACTAGCGGGCCAGCTCGATCATCCAGGAATCTCTTGGCTTGGGGCTTGCTGCCCCCTCGGAGCTTTTCCGTCACGGCGCGTTTTGAGGATTCGTTCAGATATGGAAGCAAAAGCAGGCCGAACAATCAGCACCTGGGAACTTGTGAGTTGGAGCTGTTGAAGCAAGAAATGCGCTCTTGTCGGCGACTCTCCGTTCTTGGAGGATCATGGGACTTAGTAAGTAAGGTTATAAGTACCCTACTTTGTTTATAACCCTAGTTACTAAGTCCCATGATCCTCCAAGTTACTTATTGAGCTTAGTGATGGGTCTCTTCACCGACTGCGAGCCTCCAGCAGGTGCGCAGCAATGTTTAACCTGCCCAGGCTTCAAGATAGGCACTGACATGAAAGGATGAACCCGAAACCCTAAACCTAAACCTAAACCCTAAACCCTAAACCCTAAACCCTAAACCCGAATCCCGAAACCCGAAACCCGAAACCTAAATACCTTCCTCTCGGGCGGCAGGAAACCTCGGAGCCCTTCCTCTACCGCCACCCGGACAGGAGGGGCAGATTCGGAGCCAAGGCTTAGGGCTTTGGGTTTATAGGGTTTAGGGTTTGGGGTTTGGGGTTTGGGGTTTAGGTTTAGGGTTTGGGGTTTGGGGGTGAGGGTTTAGGGTTTAGGGTTTAGGCGCTTCTAAAACGTCTAGTTTAGGGTTTAGTTACCCAAAGAGCCCAATACCCCTTTAATTAAGGAATACACCTTAAATCATAATATTAAGGCCCTATAAGTTTCGGTCTATTCCTTGTTTCAGGGGTATTGGGCTCTCTGGGGAAGCAAAAAAAGACTGCCCCCGCGGGCCTGAAACAGACCAAAACAGCCACTATCTCAAGTCCAAAGCCCCAGACCCCAAAAGTCACAGACCCACGACAGACCCACCAAATCAGGAAAGATGACGATCCGACAGGCAATTGGAACCAAGGGCTGAAAATGCCATGACTGAGTCCTTATCCGTTTGCGGGGAGTCA